AATAAACCCTGTTTTCGCCACTGAAAGCTCTTCCAAAACTAGATTTATTTTGGATGTTCGTTTTATCAATCTCTTCATCTTCTTCCCTGAATTTCATTATGAGTCCATCAATGATCTAGTTGCACCCCTCTCAGGCCCACCCAACCAGGACTTCCTCTCCTGCTTTTACATTAAAAATTGCTACTACCACATTGTCGTTTACCCTCTTCACAAACCCTATCTCGTCTTCCACTGGGGCAGTAACAATATCAGTTCACAACCCTCTGTTTCGGTATTTCCTCCGCCTGCTGGATATTTACCACCATCATGTAATAAATCATGGTCGAATTACGACTCTGGAGTGTTTTTGTCACTTCTTATATTGATGACTCGGCACTTGCAAATCCTAACTTACCTCTTCTTATGTGGCAAACCTTCAACTACGTTTCCCTTCTTCACAACCTAGGCTTTTTTCTTAGCATCCATAAGTGTGTTTTTCTTCCATTAAAAAAAATTAACTTCTTAGGCTTTACAATCGACTCACACCACAAAAGAATAAGAGTACCCGAAGGAAAAGCGGAAAAGATCCTCAATCTAATTACTTCAGCCTTCCACTCCCAACCTTCTAGCAAAAATCTAGCAAAACCTGTCGGGAAATCAATAGTTATTTCAAAAACCTTTTTACCAGCCCTTCTTTTTACTTCCTCTCTCTTTAACTCAAGCTCACCCGCAAACTGGGATTCACCAATTCATAGTTCTGAAGATCTCATCTCTGACCTGCACTGGTGGCTAAGCCACCTCTTTAACCTACCAGGTCGACTTTGGACTGTCAAAAAAAACAACATGCTCTATCTCGACCGACGCATCCGAATTTCAAATTGGAGCTATCATCACCCCATTTCTTCTTCCTCCTCTCACCTTTAACCAATGCCTACCTCACGAGCTTATTCAAACTTCGTCAACCCACAGAGAGCTCTTCGCTATTTACGAAACCTTCCTTTTCCTCAAAACCAATCATCCTCATTTTCTCCTTTCCGCATCCATCTGACTCCTTTCAGATAGTCAATCCGCCATAGCCCTCCTCAGCAGTCTTCGCTCGTCAGATCCCACCTTCAACCCGTGGCTCCCGCCATATTACTTCCATTCTCTTAAAACACGATACCCTCCTTACCCCAGTTTGGATACCAAGATCCCTAATTAAAACTCCGTCGCTGATACCTTGTCTAAAACTCAGGATAACACAAATTGGGGTATTACCACCCATGTTAGGCATGGCATCATCATGATCTTTGCAATCATTAGCGCTCCCGCCATAGACCTCTTCGCATCATACTACCATCACACTTCGCCCCTCTCCATCTCCAAAATTTGTTCTTCCAAATCCTCCTTCATTGATTCTTTTTCCATCGATTGGAACGATCTCCCAATGCAACCTTATAGATGGTTTTTCCACCCACTTCCCTTCTTCACGACGCACTTTCTCGTGCAATCCTTTCTCCTGCTAACTACCTTCTTATCTTTCCATCATCCTCTAAAGCCAACTGGTTACCACGAATCCTTTCACTTAAAACCATCCAAGAATTTATAATCCCCAAATCAGTGTATTACTGTATCCCAAGTCCCAGAGTACATTTTTCTTGTCCTAACCCTGCGGTTTTAGGACTTTCCGCCATCCTCTTCTCAATCTAGGCCATAATTCTCAATCACTCACTTCTCGCTTACATCCGCACCACCTCTCTTCTTAGCCCCGCGTTTCCACCCACGCTGCATCCCGTATCCGTACCGCATGAACATCCCCAAACTAGTCCACGTCCCTTGCCTCATCATTTCACCTAGACTTCATCCTTCCTCTATTCCAGCCCGCAAGCCCCCGATCTGAAAACTATGTCCACTTTCACCATCATACACCCCCGCCTCTCCAAACCATTTCTCTATCCGCTTATTAAAAGCCCCCCACCTAAAGCATTTCCTCCTCTTCCAGTTCGAAATAGGTATTCATTTCGAATATCTACACCAATTTTCTCATATACCAAAATTAACTCAGGTAAAATCCCTAAGAAAGTCTCCCCTTCGTCACTTGGCTCTCTCAACCTGATTAGAAACCTCCCTCCATATTTGTCTGTCTTTGTATATCCAGGCCGTTCTTCACATTTTTCTATATCTATCTCTTTGTATTGCAATCTCAACCCTTCTCCGCAGCGCTGCCAACTCTCTCACAAATATAGAAACATCCCAGCATCCCGATAAGCTTCCGCCTCCCGCACCCTCTTTAGAATCTTCACCTTATTACGAATATGCCCAATCACTCTGTCTAACTTCTCCCATTATAACGGCCGGGCAGACTCCTCAATCACACCTCTGCTTAGAGCATACTCTTTACATGCTTTCCTAAATGCCTTCACACGACTACTCTGGCATGGATTATCACTCTCTTCCCGACCTAAGAGACGAAAGCTCTCACTCAAACAATTTATCACTGCATCTACAGTTGAAGGAGAAACTATCGGCTCCCCTTCGCCATTCGTTGTCCAATACCGACTCTCTATTTCCACTAACCACTGACTACTCAAGAATGCCAAAACATCTAAATCATTACACATCATACAACTTCTTTCAACACCACTCCTTTCAAGCCACTCATTTAAACCACGAAGAAGTTTCCTCATCCCATTCCGCCATCGCTTTCCTGGACCAAACTCTTCAATCAAGCGACGGCTCCACTCCAATCCTGCTTGGTAACTTCTGCTATCTCCGGTGTAGCTCGCCTTTGACGCCAACTTCCATCACTCATCCGCTCGTTCCACCACTCCCTGCAAGATGACAAGTCACTTGTGGGATGATGGAGGGATTCGGGCGGTCTAGGAGGTGTGTGGGTCTGCGGCCCCAACTGTACGACTCTCTTCTGAGCGATCTGGCATCATCCATGACTTGACCATTTCCTATTTTATCTGGACTGGGCCTGGGTAGCAATTGTCCTGGAGCAGACCCTGTGATTGGTTTCAACTCCCACGGCCCCGGTTTCTCATCGTTGAGGACCCACGACTACAGCCACGCAGGAGTTGTCTTTTCATCAACAAGATATCGACATTACGGTTGATTCTTCTCATCTACGGTTATCTGTTTCCTCTATTGTTTATCTGTTATTCTACTTCCGGGATCTGCGGTCGGAGTATCTTTTGAGCAGTATCTTTGGTTCGTGTCCAAGGTACCATCGGGACTCACCCAGCAGGAAGCAGTCCCTCGACAGCCCGACCTTCATTGCTTCCAGGGGCGGCAAGAGCATAAGTAACCGGCGCAGGACCAGTCGCAGCAGAAGGCGTCAACTCTCGCTGCGCACTCTCCGCATTTCTTCCGCCAGCCGCTGCGCCCATTGCGTAGGCAAATCTGCAAGTCACATCAAGAAAGTCAGCCAGTCGCTCCTTGAGGACAGGTCGTTCACCTCGCCTTTTGGCGAAGCGGCCCCACCCACCCTTGATTTTCCCACGGTGTGTGGGCCTGCGGCCCCAACTCTATGACTCTCTTCTGAGCGATCTGGCATCATCCATGACTTGACCATTTTCTATTTTATCTGGACTGGGCCTGGGTACTACTATCCCGGTTTGGTAAGAGGCCATATAATATCCAGTCATCCGATCAGAGCCAGGAGGCATCTGTTATTTTATTCCAAAAATCAATCCACCACATCCACAGTTCATCAGACAACGGACAGCAAGTCCACAGGTGAGCATTTGATTCCCAGCCCCAGTCGCACCTGCTGCATGTTACGTTGATCTCCATTCCTTTCTGATGAAGCCAGTACTACTATCTCATCTTCTTGGCAGTTCTCATCTATCTCATCCTCTCGCTAGTCTATGTATAGTACGGGGGGAACACCAACCAACCCGTCTCATCCTCTTGGCAGTACCCATCTATCTCATCCTCTGGCTAGTCTATGTATAGTATTGGTGGAATTTTTCTATCCTGGCTCATGCGAGAGACTGTTTGCCCTCAGTTCCTCTTCTCTTCCTCTTCAACACCAACCAACCCCCATCTCTCCCTAACGCACGGGGTAGGTTGGCACCACAGCAGTGGTGCAAGAGCAAGGCTGTACCAGTCCCTCATGAGCTCTGGGCCCAAAAGTCCCACTACCGTCTTGGTCCCACTACCGTCTTCCCCTGAACACAACGCAGCCCCATTTTGCCTGTATCGGGCCGGAAACATGCCTTGTATACGTTCATTTTCAGGGTGCGTTATGGTCGGGGGAAGAGGGTAGCAGCCTTGAGTTTCCACAAGGCCCGAATCTGGACTTCTTTTTTGTGTCGATGTGCAGAAAACCGCGTTCATTTTCCTCAACCGCACGTCTCCGTAAACACGTCCACATTCGGGCGATGAGGAAACTCAACTCAACGCTGCTACTGGGACTTGGCCCCTGGACTAGATCACGTTGAGATGCATCCAGGTCAGCAGTAACTGCTCTCAGATAGATACACGTAAGAAAGTGCTACCGGGTAATCACGAGGACTTTTTCAACTGGTCTCTGGACGTAATTGCGGTCAGATGCATCCAAGAGCAGCTCCAGTTGAGACCAGAAACATCTGCGACCGTTCGCGGGCGGGCATACGCACAACGTGTGCAAAACGAGTGCTAATCTTCCGCTAGAACAGGAAAAGATACACCGCCATGATTTTTGTCGGTTATGCATGTCTTGAGTAGTGGAGCGAGTTTTTTTTTTTTTTTTTTTTTCGAGATTTTTTTTTTCTTTCGAGTTTTCTTTTTTTTTCAAGTGCAGCGAGGCCATTGGCGAGGAAAAAGAAAACAAAAAAGAAAAAGAAAAAGAAAAAGCACCTTGAAAACCCGCCCGAAAAAAAATAAAAACAAATAAAAAATTAAGAACCATCCTCCACAGCCCATTTGGCTCAATCAATGGCAAAGAATGAAACGAAATAAGGCCTTAGCGTCCTGTGAGTATGCCCCTTGATCGGGGAGGTCTGAATGAAAGGCGTGAGTGAAAAGACTGCGTGAGGCGGTGGTGATGGTGACGTGTAGTCCGTCCCTCCCTCCCTGCCTCCCTCTCGCCACACTCGCCACACTCGCTTCCCGCCAAATTCGCTGCTGACGTGATGTGACATCAGCGCGCTAAAAGCGTTCAGGTTGGGGAAATGTGGAGGGAGATGGAGAGGGTAGCGAGGTGGTTGGTGCTCTCACTGAGCTTATCCTGATGGGATGTGGTCCCACGTGTACTGCATTGAAATCGTACGGATCTTCATAACCATTTCTTATCAACTCCATCGCACCATTGCTCCTTCTCCCCCTCCTCCTCCTCCTCCTCCTCCTCCTCCTCCTCCTTTGCCTCCTCCTCCCTCTTCCTCTTTTCCTCCTTTGCCTGGTGCTTCCTCTTTTTCATTCGTCTCCAGTTTTCTCCCTGCTTTTGTTCATTCTCTCTCTCTCTCTCTCTCTCTCTCTCTCTCTCTCTCTCTCTCTCTCTCTCTCTCTCTCTCTCT